TTTTCGTCGCGTTGTGATGACGTCACGTACACGATTTCGTCGACCGCGCTTTTGTGGAACGTGCTTTTGACGGGTCACGCCCCGACACGGGTGGGGTGGGCCTGCCCCCACCATCCTCCCCCCTTCCAGGGGTGCCCGGGTGGCGGGGGGCTGCAGCCGAGACCTCCTCCTTCTTCTCTTCCCGCAGGTGGTGGCCGATCAGATCCCGATGCTGGTGCAGGGCGTTCGGGGTAGCCAGTCGCAGCCGGACAGCCCCAGTGCCCAGCTGGCCCTTATTGCCGCCAGCCAGAACTTCCTTCAGGTAAGCAGAGTCTCTGGCCCGGCTAGGGGGCTTCCAGAGGGCTTACGGCACATGCCTGGCAAGCCTGGCCACTGTAGGTGACGCCTACTCGTCCCTTTCCAACTGTAGCCCGGTGGGAAGATGGTGGCTGCCGCCAAGGCCACGGTGCCCACCGTCACGGATCAGGCCTCTGCCATGCAGCTCAGCCAGTGCGCTAAGAACCTGGCGGCAGCTCTTGCCGAACTCCGCACAGCAGCACAGAAGGTCAGCCACTTTGCCTGCGGGGCTCCGGGTATCGGTCCCATGGGGGGGAGAGGGGCAGGAGCAGAGGGGAGACCCCTGGCTCGCTCTGGGAGGCTGCTGGGCCTGAGACACAACTCAGCCTGGCCACTTTTCCGCGGGGAGGGCGGGGGGGGCTTCCCTTTGGTCAGGAAAATGTGGGACTCCTGGCCTTGGCAGGGAGTCCCCCGGGGTGGACGGGGGACGGAGCGTGCGGGTGAGCAGGACGGGTTCCCCTCTTCCCTCCAGGCGCAGGAGACCTGTGGGCCCCTGGAGATCGACTCGGCCCTCAGCCTGGTGCAGAGCCTGGAGAGAGACCTGCAGGAGGCCAAGGCGGCTGCCCGGGAGGGCAAACTGAAGCCCCTTCCAGGGGAGACGGTGTGTTGGGAAGGGGGGATTTGTGTGGGGGGGGGGAGGTGGCCTCCGGGGGGGCCCTTCCTGACGGCCGGTCTGTGCTGCAGATGGAGAAGTGTGCCCAGGATCTGGGCAACAGCACCAAGGCAGTCAGCTCCGCCATGGCTCACCTGCTGGGAGAGGTTGCCCAAGGCAACGAGAACTATACAGGTACCTGGTCCTTGTGGGCTCTGCGTGTTTGTGGGTGGCCTGTCCTGTCCGGTTCCACCACAAAACCGCGGTCGACCTAAAGCGCGCTCGACGAAACTGCGTACCTGACGTCATCACAGCGTGACGAAAAAAGTACGCTGTGAGCGGTAAAGCTAAAATTAACGCGTAAACCTAAACCTAGCCCCCCCCAACCTAACCCTTAACCTAACCCTAAACCTATCCCTTAACCTAACCCTAAACCTATCCCTTAACCTAACCCTAAACCTAT